CACATGCGTTATCGGCGAGTACTCTACCGCTGTGCCACCGATGCACTGTAATTCCATTTTGTGAAATAAATGCTTTAGAACTACTAATTGACATTATGATACCAATTAGAATAATCATATCAAGTCAGTGGTTATTATGAGTTGATGAAAATGTCTGAGAAACGATTGAAATCATGCAGGATTGTCTATCAATTTCATTTTTGTTAGAAATACTTCTGTAGTTGTTCAAAAGTTAACTAATTTGTAGTAATACACCAAACAGTACTGGTCAGTGATGACAATTACGTCGAAAATAGTCATCTGTTAATAGATGGCCAAGATATTTGGTGTTAAGCCACTAATTAAAAGCAGAATTCAAGTATATCAATCTCTTGTATATCTAATATTGATCTGAATTACTATGAGAAGTCGGATATTGTACCAACTGCATTGCTGAGAAGATAACTGGCTTTCTCTGTCATTTCAAACTATTGTCAGTCAACAACGGGTTAGGTATGATTGGACTATCCAGTTATATGTAATAGTCTACTCGCTTAACCACCACACTTCCAACACTTTGACAAGATATCATTGCAGGCCAGTTGAAAAGCAACGACCCACATTTCGCGTCGAATAGTCCCTCAGATGCATCAAACTTTGACTCAAAAGGAGTTCCTCAGTCTCCCTATAAAGAGAAACCTCACTGTAGGCTGCAACGAAATCGAGTTAGAATTCACAGGTTATTGGATTCTGTCTGAATGACTATATGGTCAACGGGATCGCCTCGTAACCTCGTCATCCTGCTTCAACCTGTATGAGGTCATAGTTTGGTACTAGAAGTTAACAAGTGCCCCGTACTCTCTGGTATCCTTTGGCCTTGTAACTAATGTTGTAACAACACAAGATAAGGACCAGGCGACAGATCATCTATTAAGGAAATCAGCACGTATTTATGTATATTTCATGTACAGTATTATAGCTTATTCAAGCAGACAAACACAGTCTTCTGACTGATTGTTTCTTGCTCAAGGTTATTCTGTACTGCTTTTGACTGGTTTCTCAGAAAGTTAAGCCATATATCTGCGAATCGTATTTACCCAAGTAAAGTCTGCTGTGATTGGTTGTTGAATCAGTCTTGCTCATATTTTCTCATGGCCAATATTAGCGACATAGATATTGACGTAAATTAATGTCTACCGATTGGCAAGCAGCCTGCTCTCACCACAATGTAAGTTCGTGATCTAATTTGAAACTGACAACTTCCCAGTATACAGCTACATTTTAGAAGTCATTAGTCAACTCGCTTCAAAATTAAGAAGCCGATAGGGTACTCACTAAAAATAGCAACCTTACTGTCAATGGGCTCCAAACCATGTTGTGGCTTCAGCTCCAATAACCCTTACCTTTCTTTATAAAAGTGACTGAAGTTACGCTGAAGTATAAAATGAATTTTTGCAGAAGCTAACCAATTGGCTGAGGAAAGCAGTGCTCAAATATAATCATATATGTAACTGAACTTAGTGCTATAGTACGGAGGCTAGGACAAGCAGAAAAGTCCTATTTTGAGATTTTTCATCAGTGCTCAAGTACGACCCCACCAGAAAGATCCCAGGTTTGATTTCTGGTGAGATCAAGCGTGCACACTGCTGAAATGTCCCAAAATAGGACGAAACAGCTATTCACTGAGGCCTAGTTTCCAGTGATCCCTCTAAATGATGTCTATTCGTAATGAAATCTAATAGTTGAATATAAATTTTACAATAATATTCATAAAATTATGTTTCATTATCAAGTATTAATTTTGAACATATGGAAAGATGCTGTGCCACTTGGAATGACAATCAAAATCAAGCTAACAATGAAAATACACAAATCATTTGAGTTGTATTACATTTTTCTAAGTTGAACAGTCTAACCATGAAATCATTCATTATCATTTCAGACGAAATCCTTGGAAAGAGTTTAGCTACGCGATTTCTTGGACAAGTAGTAAGTGGTTTAACCAAAGATTCATATCAGTTAGATCAAAACTGAAAACCAACAAGTAGTACTGGACAGCTGACACGTCTCAGTTTGGGACTCATGGACAGTACACACCCACCGGGTTTCGAAACCATGACCTTCCGCTAGGACGAAAGCTCGTAGAGTATTCTGCAATTAGGACGCAATTCAGTGACCAGCTCATGAACTCTGATTTCTACTAGTTTGTAATTTTAGCGCGACTGGTACCAGCCAATATCATCGGTGTGTATTTGTCCTTACTCTAGACCAGGTGGGTGCGTACTGCCGATGAGTCCCACACCGGGACGAGACAAGTATCGAGTAATCCCGGTTTCCGTCATCAAACTTCAAACAAATCCAATTCCTCCAAACGAAATCTTGAAGAATAGTTTATTAACAGATTTTGTGATTAACTTTTTGAATATTTCCACCTCAATGTCCCTATGCGTACTGACATTTGTTCCTTCACTGACTAAATCCATATCGTTGTAGTTATTTCTTATCTGTTTCATAGATTCACAGGTGTAGTTTATGTGGATGTTGGTTGTAGACAAACTTAATAACAAGATTTTACTCAAGACTAAAACGGTCTTCTCCGAGTAGTTGATGTATGTTAGCTATCACGAGGCGCTTCCATTAGGGTTATATCAAGGGTATCACCTATAACTGCATTGTATTCGAACCCATAAAGTCTATAAGAGCCTAAACAGACTCGCCATGTTTTCTGTTTTTCAATTTATGTCATAGAAAAATTGGTCAATGTGATGGTATTTGGTCTGGACACTCTAGAAAATGATTTGTTAGTAAGCAAGCAACTGAAAGGATGCAAGCCGTTTAGTTCTGTTAGATGAAGACGATAACGAAACCTTAAGTCGTCTGAAAATCCTGAGTAGAATTATTAGCTTGTTTGTCTTGTTATTCAAGCACACTAAATATAATATGATGCTACTGGAACGATATACGGTGAATTCTAAATATGCTTAATAATTGACTGGTTTAAAAATCTGCTGACGAAGTCCCAGAAAAAGTGTCAACAGCTGTTTTGACAACAGTATAATTATATTATCTTCAGTTACAATGAAAGGTGTGGCGCACAGGAGCTGGATTCGTCTTACATTACAGTTGTGATTAATCTAATTAATAGTTTACCTAAAACCGATTTAAACCATAATCAAGAATCTAAGCCACTAGACTTTCGCATTAATCTGATTGGACAACCTCTGACTTTATTGAACCAATCAAATTGATTATTGATAGTGTACTTATATGATTTATTGTTTGCCTAATGAAGTTAACGCTTTCATCAGGACAGGCGAATCATGTCTTCTGATTTTTCAATGGCTCAGTAATACAGAATGCATTTGGTTTTCAGTCGAGGCGCCTCTTACATTTCAGCATTGAACCCCAATCCCAGTATTACTATGAGTCATTACCGCTACTGTTTGACCATTCTGCTTCTTTCACCGATGCCCGATGTCATTCTTCATCATGATACGAGGACTCCAGAAACATCAAATGATTTTCGTCAAAACCAGTGTTTCATTTTATCTTTCTTACAGTAAACCAGGACGTGTAACTCGGCGGTACACCATAAATTTCTCCAGTAATGCCTTTTTGTATGCAGTAATAACCCTCATTATCAAGATATGCTTTCGATTGTAGATTCCTCATGAACATTAGGGTACAGATATACAATCTATTCTGGAAAAAGCAGGAATTCTCTGTAAAAAGAGTTCAACGATAACTGGTGACGAAAACGTTTATGAGTCGATTGATAAGTTGAGTCAAATGACCACTGAAAGAGATCAGGTTTCTTATATGTATTGGACTGGTAGTAACTATGAACGAACAGTTTTTCAAGCTCAGCTGATTCAAGTATTTAGGTAGAAATCCTTAAAGGATGCCCAAGTAAGTTTCTAACCAATTTAAGATCTTATCAATATAGGAGAATGACCTGGTACCGGCAACACAACACACACTTTCAACGGTTTTCTAACCAAATCACAAATACATTCTTGCTGCTACTGACATAAGAATCCATAGGGAAAAAGGTATTTTTGTTTTAAAGCCGCTCTTTTAATTTCCTATCTGAGAAAAAGAAAGTGTTGGTGAATAGTATACTCTAAACATATCCTACTGAGTTTCACATTTGTCACTTCTCGTCCAAATCCTCCACGAAACTCCTATTTCCTAGGAGATTTGAACCCATGTGACCTTCCTAAGTAACCACAAACATCAATACTGAACTTATCGAGCTCAAGACTGACCTCAAGTCAGCACCACATACGACTACATACATTATATTCATTTCTATCTAGCGCCCTACCACTTTATCCATGACAGTCCTTCAGGAGATCAGCTGTGAGTCCGAATAACTCACTAGCGATATCACCGGCTGCAATACGTGACACGGGGAGACACAAGTTGTTTCCAGATACGCCTCGTTAACTAGTTCCAACAAGCACGAAACTCAGGTCCAGAGCACTCTGACAATTACCTCCAAGCCACCAAAATAACGAGTTTAATACACTGCTGAGCATAGTTCGAACTGACTCTATAGACGCCAATGAATATAACTATAAACAATATTTTCGAACTAAGTTTAGTGATCATATCAAAAAGCGATATCGGTTATAAAACAAACAAGGCAATCCTTTCATAACAGATAAACCTGTGCATAATGTGTCAACGTTCAGTAGAGTTGCGAACACAGCGCTACACATGCCATGGATTCCATCGCTAGCCACCATATACATGAACAAGAAATACTCATTTTTCGGTGTAATTTAATGATTTTTATTCAAAAAATCTAAACGAAAGAAAATAAAAGTAGGTGAGATGATCTGGTTTTTCACTTTCCACCGGTTTTTCTGTAAAAAATTTTGAAAACACCGGGAACCACCAAAAAAAAGGAAATAATAATATATGTAAAAATAATTTTCAGAACTATGTACAATACACACACACAAAATGCAATTGAAAGGAAGATATATTAGTCAGTGTCAATCATCAATTCCCTGCTATAAATCGACATCAGTATCAAAATCACTCTCTTTGATAAGACCTTCAGTGAGCCATTTGACTTCAGCTGCTTCAGCGGCTTTAACCGCTTCTGACAGTAGAATATCATCATCCAGTACAGATGAAAACTCTTCATTATTCTCAACAATATCAGATTCCTCCAACTGTTCAATAAAGTCATCAGTCCATAACACATCAACAACATTTTCATTATTGTCACCATCTTCACTTTTATGTGGAAATGTTTCAGAATGATTCGATTCTGGTGAAGATGGAACTAGCAAATGTTTCTTTGATTCATCTTTTTCAGTATTGACTAATAAGTGAGACTTGGAACTGAATAGACTGGTGATTTTCGGTGTGGATAATCTGGAAGACTCCATACTTTCCTCTTTACTATTATTTTTATTATCTTTACCAGCAGTAATGTTATTATAATTATTGGTAGTAGTAGTAGTAGTAGTAATGGTAATAGTATTGCTATCATTTTGTTTAGTATCACATTTTGTTTTCAAAGATTCAGAGTTACCCTCTTCACTGGTAGACGGCAAGATAGCATTATAATCTTCTACATCTTCGTCTAACTCTTGTTTGAAATAGTCCAAGATTTTTTGTTGTTCTAATGTCGTCGACTGAAAAGATTACAAAGAAAGTAGTATTAAAACTATGATGATTTTATTCACATATCAGAAATCAGAAAGGAAGAAAAAAACCCTAAGCTACGACGTCAGTTCATCAGACAAACTGTATGAAGAAGTGACCGGTATATTTTGTCAAGAAGCGATTATAGTTCAAAACAAAAGGCAATACTGACTGACATGAATCAGTCGTCGATAAGCTCTTCGTCATCGGGTTGTACATTTTTTATGGAATTTTTTAGTTTAACTTTTTACGAGTTGATCACGGATTGATATCAGTTAGAAAACCATTGAAAACCAGGGAGTACTGGACAGCTGCTGTTTCATCCTAGTATGGGAACCATCGGCAGTACGCACCCTTACAAACCAAACTATAGAACTTTAATCTGATGCCCGCTAGTGACTTGCTACAGGTTGGAGTTTCCTGAGTTCTAGCGAGAAGTCGTGACAAGTGAGGTCCAATTAGATGTCACGTGTGTGGATGGATGTCCCACCAACGACAATGGTTGGGGTTGTGCTAAATCACGAATTAACAGAAGTTAGAATTCACGAGCCATTGAATCGGGTCCCAGTGGCTGAATGGTATACAAGCTTGCCTTGTAACCGGAAGGTCCTGGGTTCGAATCGCAGTGGGTGCGTACTGCCGATGATTCCCAAACTAGGATGAAACAGCAGCTGTCCAGTACTACCCGGTTTTCAATGGTTCTCTAACTGATATCAATCCGTGATCAACTCGTAAAAACATAACAAACCTTTACAAACCAAACTATAGTTTAACTTTATTATAGCTTGACTCCCCACAGTATGTTTGATACAAGTATGGAATTTCCAGCATACGATATCGGTAGCCCAGATTTAGCAGGCCGACCATGGATATCGGGTGTGCGTCAGCCGGGGGTCGAATCTCGGACCATGGGCATGGTCGGTGGGCGAACGTACTAACCACTGTGCCAATGACCCAAAATGAAAGAAGTACTGTTATTAGGAATAATAATGTTTTAAATTAAACTGAATCAATAGCATCGATTGATTATACTCCAAAAGTATCAGTAAAAGATAATACTCATTAATATAATATAGGGAGGGGGGCTTCAAGCTTGAGCTTTGAAGTTTCACTGGCGGTCGTATCATTGTCTTCCACGAGGTGGCGTTACTCGCCTCGTGCTCCCAATGTTCTCTCTTTATCAGGCTGCTTATTACCGAATAAGTGAGGTTCAGAACTGCATTGGCTGGGAATCGAACCCCTGACCATTTGCGTGGGTGGCGCGGGCATTCAAATATTGAACCACCGAGGCACCTGACAAGGTGACCAGTCAGCTGCTATGTTATTAAAATTTAATTTAAACTAGATTCAGTCTCACCATACTATTTCAAACGGACATAAATACACACGTACATGCACAAACGAACAGGTATTGATCGAGGGGAGATTAAAAAAACAAAAAATGAAACATGGTGAATATCATCACCAAGCGTCATTCTTCTTTGTCATCTCCAATTAGTAAAATGCTCAGAAGAACGACTGATTAAACCAAAACATCAGGTGGTCAAAAAAATGATGGCAGAGACAAGCATGCACACAGGCACCAGCTTGCACACAGATACACGCATACAACAAAAACCCTTAAAACTATAAAAAGTTTGATAAAACACTGTTTATTTATTTGTCTTGCTTAAACGTATTTCTCTTTATTGAAGGGCAGACTGAATAAAGTAGTTGATAGAGCTGTCTAACTTGTCAGTTCTCAAATGATGCATATATATATATATATATATATATATATATATATATATGCGCAGATCACTCTAGAGGTATATATCACTACACTACACTACAACAATGAAGTGTGATATTTAGCAACAAAACAGAGCTAATGGAGGAGTACACATATACACACAAATTCGACAGATATACGTAGATACAAAAAAAGTGGCACGAGGGAAACTGTGTTGTATCGATTTGATAATGAAACCGACAGCTGAATACGCATTAAATGTTTATACTTTTGTGGATTATTGATAATATCGACAACATTCAATAAATTAGATTTCAAACAATGTACCTTAGGATCAGTCAGCACATCCACTCTGTCCACTATTTAAGTCTGATGTTTCCAGTGAATAAGTAACCAAGTTCCATCATCCCTTTATTGAACTGATTATATGAGGATGAGTATGTTTAAAGCAATTTACAGTAGAATCTAGTACATTATCTATCATCAGCGGTCTAACGGAATCGACTCGGCTCAGAGAGGCGTGTCAGTTTCCAACTAATCATACTAATACTACTAATCATTCAATAGTATATAACGTAATCGCAGGAACCCAGGACGCGCATTTATTGTACTTGGAAGTCGTCAATTGTACATACTTGAATTTCATTGCGGGCTACCAACAAACCAAGTAACAACACGTTAATCTCTAGGCAAAATCGGAGCGATGATGTCATCAAAGACCAAGCATTTCTATTCACAATAAGGTCAATCAACATAAAATGCAAGAACAGCTTAAACAAATACCTATCAATATTATTATTATCATTCCCTTGGGTTCCGAGTGGAACATAGGGCTTCGACAACGCATCTCCACTTTGTTCTATTTGGTGCTGTCCTCTTCACTTGGACCCACGACTGACCATAATCCTTCATCCCCTCTTCCACTTAACCACACGATCTCCTCCATGTCTGACCAGTACGACCCACTCGTCAATTCCTATTGTAATTCCACTCAAGGTTATGCTTGGCGCGCGATATCATTCGACGGCTTCCTCTACGTATGCCTGGTCCATCTCCATTTTCTCCTACATATTTGTTGAGCAATCGGTTCTCACATGTTGGTTTGTTTCCAGTCAGAGTTTCTTGTTGCAAATTTTTTCTGGCCGGTTGACTGGCCATTTGATCTTGAGTTTGCAACAAGCGAAGGAGGCAACTTGCTTAATGGCAAAGCAATTTCACTTTCATTCAAACTGCATTTCACCTATTCGATAGTTTGCTTCGACTTTACTAACCACAAAAGATCTTTCGTGTAATAGGCTATCAAATGCACTTTTAGTGAGAGGAATACGTTGGACTGACAAGACTCTCGAAGAAGATTTGAACTTTCACTTATCTAGAGAGCATCGTTTCACTGATAGGTGAAATGAATAAGGACGTCAAAACCAACTCAGATCAGAAAGGCAAGGCAGACTTTTATTATTCTAAAATTAGTCTGAAAATCTGTTGCACTCGGCATAAAGAACAAGATTCCAATTCTCGATCAGTGCTACTAAATGGTTTAGAGACTTGGTGCGCATGTCACCAGAAGAATTTCCAACAGGCTTTAGACTTTTATCGACAGATATACCCCCCTTGATCCGTCCAGGAAATCAGACAGCTAACCGAAAAGGATCAGCAAAAAGGAACTCTGTCAACAACTAAACAAGAACCCATAGCCCAACAAATATCCCGAAGTATACCGGGATGAATTAGACACATGGTGAGGAAACCGTTGAGTGACATGGCAAGTCAGGAATCCGAATATGAAGCTATGAGTTGTAAGTGGATCCAATGGTGAGATGGAAGAGATTCTGTGAGGACGAAATAAGAATTAGTGAGCAATCGTAAAGCTAGTTAAAGAGAACTGCAAAGAATAGAACAAAATTGGGATGTGTTACGGAAGCCTTATGTTTCACTTGGAACCCAAGGGAATAATAATAATAAATGCCGAGTACTCACTCAGTCAGTCAACTAACTGCACTCTCAGTACTATTCATCAAAGCATCACTAGTCTAAATTGCTTTATTCGTTCAACTATAAGATTGAATGCATAAATTATATTTCCTACGGTCAATAAATAATGAGTTCGGGGAAATATTTTAGCTGTAACAGCAAATATTAAAAACACTGAACATAGACGTGCAGATGATTTTTAAGACGTATTTTTTTTAAACGGAATAACACGTATCAACAATAAATGATAAAAACACGAAAATAAGACATTTAAAATAATTTCAAATATAATGAAAAAAGCTTACACTCCCAAGTCTAGTTGAATCAGCCATTCGAAAAGTTTCTCGATTTAAACCAGCTTTAGACAACACTTCTAATTTACGCTCAACAAGAGGCCTAAAGTGATAAACGAAGGAATATACAAATCACATAATAATATTAATAATAATAATAGGTAATAGATAATAATCTTTTCTGCTTTAAATACTTCACAGACGAATGAATTTCACACAAAGTATACAATCATACAACGACATAGGTCAGGGTAAGCATCAAAAATCCAGGAGTACGGAACAGTTGCTTCCGCTTGGTTTAAGACTCTTTAGCAGTGCACGTCTGTGACACTATCGAGCAGCAGAACCCACAACCTTTTTCTTTGATTTACAGCTTGATTCCACACTGTATTTTTGGTACAAGTATGGAATTTTCAGCATGTGATATCGGTAGCCCAAATTTTGCAGGCCGACCATAGATATCAGGTGTGAGTCGGCAGAGGATCGAACCTCGGACCATGTGCATGGTCGGCGAGAGTCCTAACCACTGTGCCACCGACGCACAGGTATATATTAGGCATGTACGGTATCATTCAACCACTGTGACGGAACAGTTAAAAATTTGGACGAGTAAGCTATATTCAGTGGTTTTCGAAATGATTGATTAGATATCTTAGCAAATTTAGTGAAACATATTCATCCATGGAAGTTCTATCTAGAACTAATTTAATACTATTAAAAAAAATTTCAATCAGAACCCTAACAGGAAGCGACGAGTTGGACGTGCATTCGAAGTTGACAAGGGAAAGAGTATGTGAGGAGGAAACGGTAGTGCATAGGCAGTCACGGAGTTAGATGAAATCGACATAAGAGAACCAAGTGCTATGAAGATGTATTGCTGAGATCCTATATTCCATGACATGAATAATAATAATAGTAATAATAATAATGGATAATGTGAAATATGTATGAAATATCAGTTTTAAGCAATTCCATTATGGGTAAATTTTTGTTTTGATAAAGTCTCACAGTGTTATACAGTAATGTTTACTGATGACGTTTCGAGCACAATTTATTGCTCATAATCATATCAAGGTATTCACACGACTTCCTAACTTCATTTATATAGTTCCATTATTTTTCACTTGGTTTGATTGGCAGTAAACATTACTGTATAACACTGTGAGACTTTATAAAAACAAAAATTTACCATAAATGGAATTATACTCTACCACAGTGCACAAGTTTTATTCTTATATAAGTTTTAAGCAAAATTGACTAACCAGATAAAGTCATCAGCAGTCTGCTCTGCAATTAAATAACGTACTAACACTGAATCCATTTGACCAATCCGATAAGCTCTATCCTCTGCTTGAACTAAAGCACCAGGATTCCAAAACAACTCAGCAAATATGACTAAATTAGCAGCAGTTAAATTAAGACCTGTTAAGAAAAATACACAACAGAAGGTTAACTGAATAACATGATGTACTACAGCTAAAATTCGCTTGATTAAAGATTTTCAAAATATAATAGCTTTGAACACAAGTTGACATCATCTGGAGGGGCAGTGAAAAGCCTGAGAGTACCAGACAGCTGTTTCGTTCTAGTTTGGGAACCCCACCCAAGAGGTATACACCCATAAGGGTTCAAACCCAATGCCTTCCGGCTACAAGATAACCTCATAGACTATTCAGCCACTGAGAACTGATCGAATTCTCCATGAGATTCAACCTCAGACAATTCGATATATTATAGGTAGCACAATCGCCAACCGGTGTCACAGGTGACAAACCGTTCGCTTCCTGACCTGTTGAACCCAACTGGTTACCACTTCTCACCGAAACTCCAGGTAACTTCCTGTATAGAGCTAATTTATAGTGACCATCAGATTAAATACCAAGTGTCGGTTTATACGGATTTGATTACTTTCCGGTGGTCCTCTAACTGGTGTAAGCTCGCAATCAAACACCTGTAACCCGAGGATTGGAAGAAAGCATACTTATTCAAACTACCAGAGAAAGGAGATTTAAGTCAATGCAAAAACTGGGCGGAATTATGCTCATGTCCATCTCAAGCAAAAAACTAAGCCACATCATCCCGGAGAGAATCAAACACTCCCGGATGGGAAAATTCAACCGGAACAAACTGGATTCAGGGGAAACAAATCATGCATTGATCAAATCGCCACACTACGGATCATCATCGAACAAAACTTGGAATGGCAGTCACCTCTCTATCTCAACTTCATTGACTTTGAAAAGGCCTTCGACAACGTCGGTCGAGAGGTGATTCGAAAACTACTTCGCTCCTACGCGGTACCATCGACAATTATACATCTCATCCAACAGTTAGTTGTACGACAATGCTGCATGCCAAGTAATCCACAACGGGAAACATACAGAATCCTTCGAAGTGAGGACGTGAGTGAGGCAAGGCTATCTACTATCGCCAATTATTTTCTTATTTGCAGTAGACTGGATAATGCGACAGACCACGGGCGATGAGGAAACAGGTATGAAGTGAACCCACACAAGAAGAGACTTGGAGGATCTGGACTTCGCCGATGATATATGTCTGATTTCCCACAAACTGGAAGATATGCTGGTGAAAAGCAACAAGCTGGCAGAAGAAGCATCAAAGAGGTGATGAAGATTCCTGGCCAACACCAACAGCAACAACAACAACAGACGACAGTCAGCAAAAATGGGAGGAACCTGAAAGAAACAACCTCCTTCACCCACCTACCTGGGAAGCATCGTTTCAACTACAGGCGGACGGAACTGATGAGGATATCAAAGCAAGAATCGGAAAAGCAAGACAAGCTTTCATTACTCTTCAGTTTGTGTGGAAGTCAACGGCACTCAGAATCAAAAATAACATCCGGATTTTCAACTCCAATGTGAAGTCAGTGCTACTCACCACATGGATCAGAGACTTGGTCAGCGCGTCATGAAGGGCATCTCAAACAAACTACAGCCCTTCATTAACAGTTGTCGTCGCTCAATACTCAAGATCAGATGGCTAGTCAGAAAAGATCAGCAACAGGGATCTCTGGCAATGGGCGAACCAACCAGGAACCGATTTTGCAGCGAATAAGCAGGAAGAAATGGAGATGGATTGGCCAAATTCTGAGGAATTCATCAAGTGACATCACTAGACAAGCCCTCAAGTGGAACCGGAAAGGGAAGCGGCGAGTTGGTCGTCAGTGCAAGGGTGAGTTGAAGGAGGTCATGTGAAGAGGAGATGAAAGCATGTGGGCAGACTTGGAGGGGGGTGAAAAGGTTATCAGAGAACCGGAGGCGATGGAGACGTGAGGCGGGAGCCCTATGTTCCTCTAGGAATTAAAAGATATAATAATAATAATAACCAACCAAGTCTCTGTAAAGGAACACTTCATAATGATAGTAGAAAACTGAAACTTCAAACTTCATCTGATGCTCACTAGTGGGTGGCCCTATTCATGCAGTTAACCTGGGGTTCTAGTGGGAAGCCGTGACAAGTAGGGTACAACAGGTTGCAGACGAGACAGTAACTCATTGAAGAAGACATTGCGAAATGGTCGCGCTATGTATTAAATTGCCAGAAGTTAGAATTCAAGGACCATTGGCTCGGGTCCCACTGACTAAGTGGTCTGCGAGCTCGCCTTGCAACCAGAAGGCCTTGGGCTCGAACCCCAGTGAGTGCGCAGTGATGAAGAGTCCCAAACTAGGAAGAAACAGCTGTCCAGGTTTTCCAATGGTTCTCTAACTGATGTCAGCTCATGATGAAACTCTCCATTCAGTCAAACAATTTTTAATTTTATTGCTTTCCACTCCAAGTAGAACACAGGCCTTTGAGCTTCATTTTTGAAGTTTCAATAGCAGTGGTATTTTTGTTTTACTTTTATGGGATAGTGTTGCTAGTCTCACGCACAACCTTCAATATTTAACGCGATTAGTACCAGCTAAGTGAGGTTTAGAAGTACTTCGGTCGGAGATAAAACCCCAGACCATGTGTGCGATTGGCGTGTATTCCTACCGCTGAATCACTGACACACAGAGTTGTCATATATATCAAGTATATCTCATGTGAACCATCTAAAACCAAAGACAGCCTATGATCTTTATGGGGAATACCCATCTAACCACGTTTTTATCAACAGAACAGAGTTTTAGTTCCTTCTCCAACAGTTGAAAGTCGATTATTTAACACAATGAGCCAAATTACTGATGTAGTTGTCTTCATTACTAGACTACATGTTTGATAACTCTCATTGTCTCTACCGGGGCTAACTTCTGTCTGTCTGTCTGTTTTCGGCATAGAACCTTGCACATATGTGCACCAGTTCAAGTCGCCACACTCCATGTAGCACACAAAGCAACAGAAGAAATTTGAAGAAATGCATAATAGAGACAGTAAACAGAGGTGTCAGACAAAGCAATAGTAATAACGAAGAAAAAAACAGTTTCATTGGAAATTATAAGACACAAGGAGTGGATGCATCTGCACCAGCCATTGAGAACGATTTTGAGCCATGTCACCAATTGTTTCCAACCCCAACCAGTCAGGAAGTTTACAGCTTCCTACGTGGCTTAGACTAACTGTTGTAGATTTCATTGACTGGTCAAACCATTGCTCGTCGAAGAAAGGGATGACTACGAAGGCATTCGTAACACATGTCCTAACCATCTCAGTCGATGTACCTTCACAACCTCGTCGATTGATTTCCCCTGCCTACCTAGAACTCGACGCCTAACCTCAATATTGCTCACCTTATTATACCACTTCACACGGGAGACAGAATGCAGGCACCTATGATCAAAGACAGCTAATCTTTTCATGTCTTCCACTCTCAGTCACCAGGTCTCACAGTCAGTCATAAAGGAGAACGGAGTGGACCGCTGAGCAGTACACACGCCCTTTGGTCCATAGCCGGCTGGATATCACGTCCACTAAGCCAGAGACGGCGTAAACTGGCGGGCATATGCGAAACTAGCCCTGTGTATCTATACCGAGATTTCGTCAGAGATCAACCCATTGGCACTGGCTGATGGTACTTCCCAAAGAAGTGAAGCGGTCAACGTGCTCTACCACTTCACTTCCTATTTTTAAACTAGGTGTCGATGTAGTCCAGTCCTGTAACATTATCCTGCATTTGGCGGGAGCTAATCGCATGTCAATCATTCGGAGATTGCAGCTCAAGGTGTTTAGAAGACTGCATTTTGTCAGCGTCCTCGCCTAGAAGGACTATATCGTCTGCATATTCCAAGTCAACGAGATTATTCCCTGGTAGCAAGTCAATCCCTGAGTCGCTGAAGTCACTTAGGATTAAGTCCATTAGTGTGTATATCTATGATGAAGTTGAATAGAAATGGGGATAATGGGCATCCTTGACGGACACCACTAGTCGTCATCAGTTCAGATGATAACTCGCCGTAAGCCCTCACCCGGCTGCATGAGTTCGAGTAGAGTGCCTTGAACAGTGCAATGTATTTTCTCAGAATTCCCTTAACAGCTAAGCATCGCCAGAGTACCTCTTGGTTGACAGAATCGAATGCCGCCTTTAGGTCAAGAAATATAATGATTGTTGGACGCCGGTGAGAATGCCTATGTTCTAGAATTTGTCGAAGGGTAAAGATATGATCAATACACCCTCTTCCTGGTCTAAAGCCTGCCTGGCTCTCTGGTGTTTGTGCCACCCGAGCACCACTTAGTTTACGCTAACTTTTCAGTCAGTACTACACTAACATCATCCACATGAGCAACACATCTTCTCCATCATTTTGGTAAGTCACTAAAGTTTTACACATTCTCACTGACAAAACAACTCAACCATATATATATATATATATATATATATATATCAACTGCGTTATCAGGTACATAATCAGAAAACAATCGATATTTTTTTCAACATATATCCTCCTAAAGAAATTGATTAAATAAAGCAAGCAAACAACCAAGCAAAGAAGAGATATCCCAAAACCTACAGCAATGACTGAGAGCGAGAGAGGTTTATTACGCTCACCTCAGAGACAAAATGTCATAACAAAAAAAACGAGAAGTACAATTTGACAAATGTGAAGTATTATTCACATTACAAAGCATTAGTAGGTGATTTTCATTAGTGTTGACTTAAGCAAACGAGCAATCAATATATTCACATATACCGCCTATCACTATGGGCAACATAATAAAGTTGTTAGGAAACATATGACTGCTATCAGACGCGCGTACATATACATATACATCCACATACATAATAAAATGAGAATGCTTTCTGACACCATGGTAAATTATTATTTTTATAATCATTTTCTATTATTAGTCATTAATCTTCAATTACTAAGACTATCAACAGTAGAGAATACATACCACAGCCAAATGATGTTGAACCGGCCAATCAGATCGCTCAGTATTACTAATGTGTGCTTCTCATAATCTTTGCTGCAGTTTCATCC